CAGAACCAGCTCTGGTTTCCCCTAAATGAGTCTGTTCCAGCAGATGTTACAGAAACTAGCAAAAAAATTAGCGTTATAATGCTGCAAACTGATGACTGATGAGCAGAAACTCAACATTAGTTTCGTTTTTTGTTGCTAAAGGTTCGGTTTTGTGTGCCTGGGGCGGGGCTCGGCCTGTCCGTTGGACTGGGGCTAAATTCACCAGCACATTCTCTAAAATGGGATTAAACTGCAGGACGTCGAGCTCGGTTGTGGCTCTAATTGGATTAAAGCTGCTGCTCAGAGCTCAAACCGCTAGTTTGGCCCTGTTTGAGTCCCTGAAAGGAAAACCTACTCAGTGTGAAGTCCTCATGGTTAGTCCGAAGCCCCCAAAGACACGGAGAGCTGAGTTTCTGTGCTGAGACAGTGGAGGGAACCAGCCTAGGCTGAGCTTTGGGTGGCTTTTCCTCTCTGGGGTCAGAGGTCACAGAGGGAAAACAGGAAGGCTGAATACCTGATGGAAGCCGAGGTATTCCTGGATGGTGTGAGAGCAGAAGAAGACAGTTCCCCCGGCCGTCACCACCAACACGAAGCCGTGCAGAGCCTGAGGAGAGAGGGCCGGTCAGAGAGCTGCCACAGCCAAAGCAGGGAAAACAGGCAGGAAAACCAGCAGGGAAACAGGAAAACCAGCAGGGAAACCAGCAGGGAAACAGGAAAACAGGCAGGAAAACCAGTAGGAAAACGGCAGGAAAACTAGCAGGAAAACAGGAAAACCGTGCGGAAAACAGGAAAACCGGACGGAAAACCGTAAGGAAAACAGGCAGGAAAACCGGAAGGAGAACAGGCTGGAAAACAGGCAGGAAAACAGGAAAACCGGCAGGAGAACAGGAAGGAAAACATGAAAACCGGACGGAAAACCGGAAGGAAAAAGAGGCAGGAAAACCGGAAGGAGAAAAGGCTGGAAAACAGGCAGGAAAACAGGAAAACTGGCAGGAGAACAGGCAGGAAAACAGGCAGGAAAACAGGAAACAGGCTGCTGCTCACAAAGAGCCCAAAGATCCATTTTAAACTGCTGCTCTACTGAGCAACGCTGGCTCATCCCTTGAGTTAGGGGCCTTGTCTCTGCCTGAATGATTCATATGTGGCCAAACAAACCAAACAACCGGACTGAAAATGAGTTAAAAATGAGCCAAAAATGTCCATGAAGAAATGGATGAATGTTTCTGGGAACCAGTGGATGAACACAAACGCTCGTCCTGCTCTCGTCTGAGGCCTTTTCACTCAGCCGATGGCAGGAAAGTCGGGCTTCCGAGGCGACAATGAGCTGTAAAAGCAGCCCGCCAGGAAATGGAGCAAATGAACGAAGGAGGGAGACAAACTAAACAACAGGGCCGAGCCTCCAGGCGGAGAGAGGGAGACGAGGGGAGGAAGGAGGTCAGAGCTGGAAGCTCACACCTCCATCACGGCTCCGGCTCCTCTGGTGTGTGTGTGTGTGTGTGTGTGTGGGTGTGTGTGTGTGTGTGTGTGGGGGGGGGGGGGGGGGGTGATGACACAGAGCTGCTACACCTCCTGACCAGGAGGAGCCGCGTTAATGTGGGCAGACACATGTGCTAATGCACTGCTTCCTCACTTCCATCTCAGCCGTCTGGAGGAATCCAGAGATCTGAGGACAGCTCTCAGAGAGAGGCCCACTTGCCTGTTTTTGCCCTGTCGTTTGATAAAAAGCTGTGAGGAACAGGAAGAAACCGACAGCCGAGGCTCGCTGAGCCGGAAAAATGCAGAAAAACGCTGAAAATCACTGAAAATGCTTTAAAAAAAAATTAAAAACTGAAAAATGCTGATAAATGCTAAACAAAATTGCAAAAAAATGCTGAAAAACAGCTGGAAAATGCTGAAAAACTGTAGAAAATTATGACAAATGCTGAAAATGCTTATAAAAAATGCTGAAAAACGCAGCAAAATGCTGAAAAGCCTAAACGAAAACAACTTCTTTGCCGTCTCTCTGTCAAGGAATCCCTTGGGGAACTAATTTATAGGACCAGGAAACAACACATTACATTTGTTTTCAGGTTTCAGGGAGAAAAGGCAAATATGAGTCTGTTTCTGCTCATAAAAAACAATCAAATGGGTCACAATGAAGAGAAAAAGAGGAAAAAATGAAAACAAAGTCCAGAATCCATGAGCTGGATTAGCTCCAGATTACAGATTTGACCTTAAAAAGCAGAAATAAAACGCGACTGGCTGGAAACAGGACGGCTTTGCTGAGACCCAGCAGCCCCCACCCCCCCATAAAGGAGGGGCTCTGTATTATTGATGTGTCTGAGGGACCGGGGAGGCTGGAAAGAGCGGAGGAAAGACATCAGAAAGAGGAGTCCATCGTTCTGCAGCCATCTGAGCTGGAGGCGTGAAGCAGACCCCCCCAGAGCGACTGGACCCGGGCCTCCGGGGTAAGGGGGCCTTCGGCTGTCCCCAGGATCCAACATGGCCGCCCACAGCAAAGGGAAGGATCTGAGGGATCTGATGGATCTGAAGGATCTGGATCTGAAGGATCTGAGGGATCTGAGGGATCTGGGGGATCTGAGGGATCTGAAGGATCTGGGGGATCTGAAGGATCTGAGGGATCTGGGGGATCTGGGTCTGAAGGATCTGGGTCTGAGGGGTCTGAGGGATCTGAGGGATCTGAGGGATCTGAAGGATCTGAAGGATCTGAAGGATCTGGGTCTGAAGGATCTGGGTCTGAAGGATCTGGGTCTGAAGGATCTGGATCTGATGGATCTGGGTCTGAAGGATCTGAAGGATCTGAAGGATCTGAAGGATCTGGGTCTGATGGATCTGAGGGCTGTGATGACCCACCTGCAGCAGCAGCTCGCCCTCCGGCACGCCGCCGTCATGGCCGCCGTCGTCATGGCTGCCGCCGTCATGGCCGCCGCCTCTGCTGGGGAACCCGGGCGGCTGGTTCCTCAGCGTTACTGAGGAGGCAGAAAGCAGCAGGATTACACGCCAGTAGGGACGTCCCGATCCAGCTTTCTGTAGTTCCCATCCGATCCAGATCCCGGCCTATCAGAGCATTTATTAAAGTTTAAAGTTATTTATCTACTTACTTAGTTATCAGTTGTTGAACAGGCATTTACTCTGAAAACAACTTAATGGTTAGGACACAGAGCTGTGGGTTACAGATGCTAATGCTAATGCTAATGCTCGTGTGGGATCGGACTTTAAATAAAAAACTGGATCTGGAGTCTGGATCTGTATTTTCTTCTGCATTTTTTTGCAAATATTGGCGGCCGATCCGATCCTTATATGTAGTCAAATCAGAGGAAATTCACAGGAAGCTGGAGGAAAGATGCCTGTCAGGATTTCTCTGTCTGCAGCATCCTTATTTCTCTCTTTCAGGCCTTCTTTTGTGGTCTTTTTTTTGGTCAGTTTTGCCCTAAAACCCCCGAAAGAAGCCATAAACGCATGCAGCCGACGGGACTCAGCATCAGAATCTGTGAAATCTGCACATCTGCTGCAGATTTCTGCTGGTTCTTGTGTCAGAAAGCCCAACCGGATCACCAGAACTCGGGTCCTCAGCCCAGATCTGCTGGAAACCTGCAGACTGAAGCTGTCTGAGAGCTCTCAGAGCAAGTCGAGACCCTGAGACTCAACATGAAGCTCCAAAAACCCACAAACCGGGACTCTATTGGGCAGCTGAGCTGACGTTTCCATGACGACGGTGGGAGACGTGCCTCAAATCAGCAGAGTGTTTGGACCAAAGCTGTGACTCGGAGCAGAAACACTCATGTCCACCATCAATAATTGAGAGCCTGAACAGCCGTGTGGCCAAACATCCACTAAGAACATCCCGGCAGCATGAATAAACCAGAACCAGCCTCATCTGGAGGAGAGACCCCACGGAGGGACGCCAAACAGCCGACGCACCTCCCGTTTAATTCCTTCATTCACCCAATTAGCTGGGAGGGAAAGGGGCCCTAACTCAAGGGATGAGCCAGTCCTGGAGCAGTGTCCTGGGGACTGGAGGCACCAGACGGAGATCTGAGACGGCTGCAAACCCTCCTGATGGAGCCGGAAAAGGTTGGAGCTTTTTTTGCCTGCCGCCGTCCCAGAAGACGGCCCAGACACAGAGACAGCCCCCCCTCCAGGTACAGAGTAGGGCTGTCACGATACTAACATTTTCAACTCCATACCGATACTCAGGAAAATACTCGATACTCGATACCATTTTCAATACCACAAGGGTAAAAACAAAGACCCCCAAATTTAACTGAATTGTGTCTTTCATTTCAAACTGACCTGTTACTGATGTTATCGTGACTGGTGGCCCACATTAATGGCCCTAATCCTAACCCTAACCCTCCACCCTTCATAATTGTGAGAAATAAATATTTTTTGGTTAAACTTGTTTGGACTTATTGTACAAACCTATTTAACATCCACTATTTTAAAATAATATTATGGATAGAGTTTAATTCAGTGTTTGGAAGATTCATTTCACTATTTTTTTTTAATTATTATTATTTATTTTTTTAAAGATTTTGTTGGCCCTAGTGGCCTTTAACGACAGTAGCTTGACAGGAAAGGGGGCAGAGATAGAGAGGGGGAGACCTGCGGGAAAGGGCCGTGGGCCAGATTCGAACCCAGGACGCCCGCTTGTAAGCGGAGGCTCCGCATATGGGCCGCCCGCTCTAGCCATTAGGCTACGCTGCGGCCCTCATTGGTGATGTAATCAAAATGGCCGACTTGGTTGTGGGCGGAGTTGGATATGTACTTGATTAATGGTAGCATGTTATTATTAGCCATTAGCCACAGCTAGCAAGGCTAACGTCTTGTTAATGATCATAAACAACGTAAATAAATAAATAAATCAGAGAGAAGGGGCGGTGGTATCGATACTTTTGAAAATGAGTATCGTATCCGGATACAACATTTTAGTATCAATACTTTTTCGAGTATCAATACTTTTGACAACCCTAGTACAGAGACAGCAGCCCCCCCCCCCTCAGAGACAGACACAGCTCTGCCTCCCCTCTGAGGGAGGCGGGGACAGAGAGGTTGACCTTTGACCCCCTCGTGGCCCCTCCCACCTGAGAAGAAGCTCTTGGTCCGCAGGTAGCTGACGCTGAGCCGGAGGATGGACAGCTTGTCCAGGCTGGACACCACGTCCTCGGGGAAGGGCAGCAGCCCGGCCAGCCGCTGCAGCTCGCCGTTCAGACGCTCGCGGTGGCGTTTGGACGGGTTGGACTTGGCGCCCTCAGCCGGAGCCGCTTTCACCCTGAGGAGTCAGGACCAATCACACCGTGACCTCACAGATCACCTGAGAACAGGCCAGAGGCAGCTTCCTGGCTCCAATTAATGACCAGAACTTAAAGAAAACGAGTGGAAACGTCAGGATTCAGGACACAACACGGATGTTTCCAGGGAGGAAGTCAAGGACGTTATCAAAAAAAGACACATCACTGATGCAGTAAAGATGCAAATTAACCATAAAGACATGAAATATGTCCAAAGAGGAGAAAAGAAGGGGCCACACAACAGTCTAAATTATCCAAAGAGAAGCAAAGCCATCACAAATAGACACAAAAGAAACAGAATCAAGAGAGGAGTTTACAAATGACCCCAAAAAGACACATTTATAGAGAAGTATCATTAAGAAGATGGTAATAAATGGAAAAGCAAAACAAACTAAATGAGCCAAAGCACAACAAACAGATGAAAAACAAACAAAAATACAGAAAAATACAGCATCCCCCACAGAGACAATCTGACGACCGGGATGCAGAAAAGTGACACAAATGTGTGCAAAAACACCCAAATGAGCCCCTTTAGAGGCCTTTGGGGATTAGCGGCCCGGCCGGCAGGGGGCGCCTCTCCCAGCCCGTTAATCCGGTGTTTACAAACCCTCCTGAACCGGGGGACTCGCAGAGTAACTAATACGTCTTACGCCTCCAGATTTAGAGTCGGAGGCTGGTGGGACGGAGCGTCTTACCCCTTCTGGGCCGGCTTCCTGCGCTTGCGTCCGGCGAACATGATGGGGCTCAGTGGGCCGGGGGGTCGGGGGGGGGGGGGGGGGGGGAGGGGGGGGGGGGTGGTGGGGGCTGGAGCCCGGTGGAGCCTCGACCCGGATCCGGAGGACTGGCGGCACCGGGATCATCTGCTGTGTGACGGGGAACTGCGTCCAGACGGGCCCCGGACCGCCGGTGCGCAGCCGCACGGCCGGGAACACCGGGGTAAAGGGCCGGGAACACCGGGGGGAAAGCCCGGTCCAGAAAAGCAGAGTCCGGTCCAGCAAAGCAGAGTCCAGTCCGGTCCGGTTCGGTCCGGTCCACTCCCCACGCAGAAACACGGGACCAGGCCGGGACCGCTCCTCCTCTCCTCCGCTCCTCTGCAGCTCTGCAGCTCCTGGCTCTGACCCGCTGCGCGCTCCCGCGCTGACGGAGCTCTGGCTGCACCTCGGGAGCGCGCAGCGGGTCAAAGGTGACGTCAGAGCAGTGAGGGAAGCAAAGGTCAGCCCCTAGCCTCAGTTCAAAGGGCAGATGTGTCCGGTAGTCTGACTTTTAAATCAGTTCACACAGTGGATCAGAACTGATTATCAACCAAAACTGAGCTTCACCTTTAAATAAAATTAAAGGAAAGTCTAGCTACATTAGCATGAAATGCTAGTCAGAAATATCTGCCACAAAAGGTCAGATAAATAAATACAAATGGAAATGGACCAGTTTTACTTCATGCAGACGTTTTAATAAAGAGTCTACAGTTAATAGGGACAGCCTAGCTAACAGAAATACAATTTTTATGAGCCAACAGACGCTTGTAATAAGATACAGATTTGAGTTTTAATCAGCCAGAATTGCTCATAAAGCTGTTCTGAGCTGTTAATCTGCCCATAAGTTGTGTTTTACCTAAGAATTCACTACCTGCCGTGCAGGTAGCATAAAAGGCTCCCTCTGAAACGTTGATGCTTTCGATCACAAAAATTAAAGTAAAAAAAGAAAGAAATGATAATAATTCAGATTTTAGAAACTGTTTAAGTTATTGGAGACGGAGGGTTTCTTTCACAGGTTGATATTAAAATGCACCGAATAAGCATTTCTAACACGCGTTAGATTAATTAATTCGATTCAGTTTTAGTTTTTTCTAAAGTGATGAATGAAATTCTGTGTCTCTCTGTATATTCATTCTTGTTGTTTTCACAAACTAACAGTAAAAAATGCTTCATATATGTCTGAATCTGGTCACTTTCAGAGGAAATCTGCAGGAATTCACAGTAAAAGTTTTCCTATCATTGATGGTTCTCTACATCTTCCCTGTTTTTCTTGTTGCTAGGCTTCAGATGTACTAACCTTTCCTGATAATAACTTTCCTTTGGCTCTGCTGGAGCCCTGCTGCCTGTGGCTGACTGACCTGCCTCCTGCCACTGCGTTAGGCTGCCATCTAGTGGACACCAGAGAACAGCACGTCCAGCCAAACTGCAACACAAACACTGCCGTCAGTCCTCACGATTCACAAACAAACACACTTTTTCTGTTTAATATCCCCTAATTAGGTGTGAGCTTAAAAGAAATGAGAGGAGAATCCGTGATAAATGTTTGTGGTTGAGTGAAAACATTGAGCCGGATGCAGTGATCACATCACCTTTAATAGGAGGTGCATGTCCAGACCGACTCCGACACTCAGATACAGACTCAGAGTCAGAGTGTTGAGGGCAAATCCACAAGTTATCAAAAATACATCATGACAAGAGGTTACATGTTCACCGTGCAATGAAAACTGTACAAATTGACAGCAATGTGAGTCATTTTAAGGCAATACAAGACTGAAGTACACAATATTAAACAATACATATTTTAGGGGAAATAAAGCTGAATATATATAAATGTACATACACAATTACACAAAGATACTGCATTTCGGAGCCATGGCTTCCTCTGGTTATAGGTAAAATAATTAAAAAGGCTTTTCTCAATGTAGAAGTAAGCAAAAAGGTATATTTATATCTCTATACAAAGAATACTTTGTGAGAAAAGGCACTGAGGGAGGGAACGAAGGCCGCCTCCAGAGCTTCTGCTTTGTTTCCATCCAGCTGAGGAGCTTTTTGCTTTTTACCGTGTTTTAGTCCATCCCTGCTCAGAAAGAGGAGGAGAAACTCTGGGAATTGTTTTACTCCTTTGGCTGAATTCACACCAGGTGGAGGTCCTCATTCAGATCACTACATTTCCCAGAGTTCTCTCCCAAATAAGAACTGGTCAAATGGCATCACAAAAACACTCTTAAAGGAGAAAGTTTTTGCGATATTTGACTTCTTAAAGCAAAAGGAAACAAAACAACACGATTCGGGGCCCAAAAATACAGTCAGATTTGGCTTTTTATTAGTCAATGAGAAAACTGGTTGTGATGTTAGTCTAAACTTTGTGGAGATGAGGCGCAGTCAGTCCGGGAACTCTGGATTGAGCCGTTTGTACACACAGGACACGTTTTAGGCTCCTTTAGCTGCTTTAGAAAGTCACAATTTTGGCTTAAATTCCATCAAATCTGTGCAAAAAGCGAACAGAACACAAACTGTGGTTTGATTTGCCTGTCATCCCTTTGGTATCGTAAAAAAACGTCTTTTTTTTGTGAGGACTTTTGGTTTAAAACCCAGTTATTCAAGTGTTTTGTGTCTAAAATCAGCAGAAGATTCTTTACCCTGTGAGAGGAAACGTTGCAGAAATGGAGAAAGAAATCTAACTTCATGGCTCAGATTGGACTGAATCTAAATGTGTGTAAACGAAAAGGCCCAAAGAGGACCACTCTCCTCCTTAAAGGTTCTGCTGAGGGGGAAGTTACACTAAACATCCATTTAAATTAGGTTTAATCCAGATGACTTGTTCAAATAAATCTAGTTTAATCCAGATTCAGTCATCATTAAAAATTTACAAATATTTAAACTGAGGAAAACACGAGTCCTGCTGGTTTAAACATTTCCAGTAAATCTGTTCTGCTCAGAGCATAAAGGAGGCTTTTAAAAGCTAAGTGCTTAAATCTTCTCTGTGCTGGTTTGTTGTCAGATAAAGCGTCGGCTTTGGCTTTGCGCCGTTTAAGACGGGCTGGTGAAGCTTTGGTCGAACGAGGAACATCGCATGTCCCTTTAAATGTCGCTTTAAGGCACCGTCTGGATTTCCCCTTCACAACAAGAAAGCAAAGAGACAGAAAAGAGAGGAAAGAAGGAGTAAAACTGGCTCAGTGACAAAGCTTTAAACTCTACAAACAAGCAGCCGTTTTCACTCTAAGTTGCTCCGTGACTCTCGGTCACCCTGTTGTGCGTTTCAATTCTCTAAAAAAGTCCTTTTGTTCCTGTCGGGGGAGCAAATCTGGCTCCTCGGAGACAGAAAAGACGTTGAAATGAACTTTGCGAAGGACAAAAACAGCAGCCTAAAGGAGTTAAATCCTTCTGGGCCTTCGGAACAGGAAACAACTGTCCAAACTCATCTGTGAATGAATGTCAGAGTCTCTGAGGAGCTGTTAAAGTGCAATACCTCTGACGGCCACTAGGAGCTGCCCTAAACGCCTCTGCTGCTGCGTCTGGAGGACCGAAGCTGCCACACAAAAACAAACCACCGCGGATAAAGGGCTGCACAGGGTTCAGATTCCACTGGAATAGATAACAGAATAAATCCTAAAAAAATAACTGAAGGCTATGCGAAATAAATGATACATAATATATGCACTAAGTTTACAATCTATAAGTTCAATTTCGCTTTGAATTAGTTATTCCTGGATTTATTTCTTTAAAATTTTCTTTTTAACTGCACTGATGTATTTTTGTTGATAAGAAGAAATGAATAAATTACATTTAATTAAAAACTATTTCCCCAGGCTTGATTATTTAAATGTTTTCTTTTTGCTTCTCTTGGGTTTTAAAGCAGCGAAATCAAGATGAATGTCATTTATTTCACATAATCAGTTATTCTAAGCATGAATTTGATTGTATTTTACTATCACATTTGGATAGTTTGGCTGTTCATAAATCTGTTATGATTATTTATTTATTAATTTTTGATAATGACAGTGAAGGCCCTCCGTACAGCTTTAATTCATTCAGAGTCGGATTTTCTTGTAGCAAAAACTGACTTTCTGCCAGATTTCTCTCAGATTTTTGGACACTGTGGACCCTCACAGTTCAGGAGGGTTTTCAGATAAAGCGTTTTGTGTGTGCCACCACCGGCAGAGGTAATTTTAATCCAACAAAAACGCCCAATTTTACCTGAATACCAGATTTTCTCTCTGTGTAATTCGGTCCTCCGGCCACAGGGGGGCAGTAAAGTAACCAGTTACAGAGACTCCAACTGGATCTGATTTGATGAATCGGTTCAAAATTTAGCTCTTAAAAGGGCAAAAATGATGCATTAATTCTGAATTTCATACCACTGGGACAAATTCAATCTTTTGAAGGCTCCTGAATGCGAAGCGGGTAAAGATCTGTAGCTCAAAGATGGCGTTGTTTTGACGTGAGAGGCCGGGGCTCTCTGGCCAAACCTGGACTTCTGAAGCACCCATCACAGTTTCTGTTAGAGAGCCGAACAGACTCGTTCCTGCTGCTCCTCCGCTGGGCCGCTGGTTAGACGCCGTTTCCGGTCATTTGCTGTCGGAGAAGCAGGAGCCGTTGGGCAGCAGCGGGAACGGGAAGCCGGCGCCGCCCAGGCTGCTGATCTGTGGAGACAAAGGCAGCTCTGAGGGTTTGGTTTGGGTTAAAGGGATCCACAAAGAAGAAAAATAACTTACCCTGAGTTGGACACATGGAAAGTTAACAACAAGCAGCTTTGGATAATCAAAGGATGCTTTTCTCCCATTAGGGCGATAATAATAATAGTAATATATATCATATATCTATTTAATTAATTATCTAATGACATCTAATGACAATACCAATTTATTTATGAATGAATTATTAATGTAATATTTTTGTAATTAAATTATGATGAATTACATATTTAATATATAATCTAATTAATATCATGAGTAATTCATATATGAACGATAATGTATAAATTATAAAACAACCTTAAAGGAAACTAAACGACCACAAAAGGGGAGAAAAGACAGATAGAAGCCTGGGGTTCTGGTTCTGGGGACCCAGAACCAGGACCAGGTCCAGGTCTAGGTCCAGAACCAAGTCCAGGTCCAAGACCAGATCCAGGGCCAGGACCAGGACCAGATCTAAGTCTAGGTCTAGGTCTAGGTCCAGGACCAGGACCAGGACCAGGACCAGGACAAGGACCAGGACCAGGACCAGGACCAGGTCCATGACCAGGTCCAGGTCCAGGTTTTACCTGCATCTGTTTCCTGAAGCCCAGAGCCTGTGGCGCCCCCGTCCGGCCGTTGGGCGCCAGTCCGGCGGCCATCTGGCAGGACAGCGCCGCCTCGCCGCCATTAGCCCCCCCGGCGGGCGCCGCCTGGTAGAAGCAGGACGGCGGCGTGGCGGCGTGCGGCGCCCTGAGCGGCGCCCGGCCGATGACATCATCGGCGGTTAGCGGGCGCCGCTGCGGCCACGGCGGCTCGTGGAGCGCCGGCGTGAAGAGGCCGGGCGCCGCCGCGTCGGCGTGGAAACCGTTTGAAATGTTCTGGCCGGCGCCGTTCCACTGGCTGAAGGCCGGGTTTGGCCGCCGCCCCTGGAGGGTCGCCGCGGCGACGTGCGGCGGCGGGGCGGCGTACGGCGGCCCGTTTGGGTCGGGCATTAGGAACGCGGCGGCGAGCTGGTTCTGAGGGCGGCGGGGCGCGGCCAACGGGATCACGGCGTTCGGCTGCGGCGCCACGGCCACCGGGGGGAAGTCCAGGTGGCTGAGCGGCGGCGCCATCGCCGGGGCGCCGTTCGGGGCGGGCGGCGCCGGCGGCGGCCACGCCCCCACGGGGACCTCCAGCTGCAGCTGCTCCTCGAAGTAGGACAGCACGTCCCCCGGGTCGGCGCCCGCCTCGCCGCTCAGACGCAGCAGGGCGCTCTCCCAGCCCTTCAGCTCCTCCGGAGCCACCTCCAGGGCGCCCATCAGCTCGCCGTCCTCCAGGATGTCCTGCAGCGTGGACATGACCTCCTGCAGGGCGGCGTCCGCGCGGGCGGGGCCCCCGTTGCCCGCGGCGTCCCCCGGGATGCTGAGCGTGGCGTGAGAGTCCTGGAAGGCGGCGTCGCTCAGAGAGCTGAGCGCCGCGGCGTCCTGGCTGTACAGAGACTGGTCCTGGCTCAGCAGGCAGCCCAGCAGGGAGTTCTGGCTGATCTGGTCCGGGCCCAGCAGGGGGTTCTGGTTCTGGTCCGGGCCCAGAAGGGGGTTCTGGTCCAGCAGGGGGTTCTGGTCCAGCAGGGGGTTCTGGTTCTGTCCCAGCAGGGTGTTCTGATCCTGGCCCGGACTCAGCAGGAGGTCCAGGCCCAGCAACTGGTTCTGGTTCTGGTCCTGGCCCAGCAGGGGGTTCTGGTCCAGGCCCAGCAGGGGGTTCTGGGTCTGGTCCTGGCCCAGCAGGGGGTTCTGGATCTGGTTCTGGTTCTGGCCCCGGGGCGGGTCGGGCTGCAGGCTGGGCAGCGTGTCGTACAGAACTCCCTCTCCGGTGGTCAGGCTGAAGGGCAGCTGCAGCCGCCGCAGACGCAGCTGCTCCTCGCCCTCCTCGTTCCTGCAGAGCAGTTAGCACGCCGTTAGCACGCCGTTAGCACGCAGTTAGCACGCAGTTAGCACGCCGGAGTTAGCACGCCGTTAGCACGCAGTTAGCACGCCGCCGTTAGCACGCCACAGTTAGCAGCAGCCGTTAGCACGCCGCCGTTAGCAGCTGCCATTAGCACGCCACGGTTAGCACGCCGTCGGCAGACTTACGTTAGCGCCCTCTGCCGGGCCACGATGAAGTCCGGTTTTCCCGCCTTCAGCACCATGCGGGCGTTGGACTGGACCCAGATCCAGCGGCCGCTTTTGGACAGCAGCCTGAAGATGGTGATTCCAGTTTCCCCAGTTTTGATCACTGGAGGGAACATTCAAATATTTTTATGTTTCTATTGATAGAATTTAGCAGTTCATTACCATATTGTACACATTTTTGGTATTTTTTAAGGGAAGATTTTTGGGTTTCTCCACACAATATTTGACTCACTGCGCGTGTGGTTCTCGGCGCAGTGCATCATGTCGGCGGCGTGGATGAACATGTATCCGGATCCCTTCATGCTGATCTCCACCTCGTTGTAGCCCAGCACCACCTGCCCCCTGTGGGAACAGACAGCCAGATGTGGACCTCCAGCCTCCAGCCTTTCGGCCTCCAGCCTTTCGGCCTCCAGCTTCCAGCCTC